CCTCTCCTTTCCTCCTGCTCCCTGCCTGCTATAGTCAGGAGAGGGAACAACACACAGACACAATTAATCCTCGATTCCTCAGAAAATATGGGAAGTGGGGGGGAAGACAGAAACCCAGAAAATATGGGAACATCTGGTGAATATTTTTATTTGTGTGTATTTATTTGTGTGTCCTGGGGCCCCTTCATATATCTCCCCCCGGCCCCTCTTCCGCCTGCGCGTTCGTCATCGCCTGCCTGCTCCGCCCCTCCCGATCCCCTCCCGCCGGGCAGCACAGCTGGCCCGGGGCTGGCGCGGCGGCGTGTGGGGCTTCGGCCCCCTTTCGGCCCCAGGGGCGCAGCGTGTTGCGCCATTTTTCAAGCAGGAACTCTCCGTGCCTGCCACTGGGGAGGAGGAGGAGGAGGAGGAGGAGGAGGAGGAGGAGGAGGAGGAGGAGGCGGAGGAGGAGGAGGATGAGGAGGGGGAGGAGGAAGGGAAGGAGGAGGAGGAGGAGGAGGGGGAGGGGGAGGAGGAGGAGGAGGAGGAGGAGGAGGAGGAGGAGGAGGAGGAGGAGGAGGAGGAGGAGGAGAGGAGGAGGAGGAGGAGGAGGATTAGCGCGTGGTGGAGGGGGCGTTCGCCTGGTGACTACTAGCCGCCCGCGGCCAGGGATCCCGCTGTGGGGATGGGCCGTAGGACTCGGCGGAGCTCCAATCGCCGAGCCACTCCCTTCTGTCAGGGCTGCCGTGCATGATTTTCAGGGAAGCACCACCCTTTTGGGAAGCTCTCAACCTGATTTACTGACTTCTACGGTCTGTCTTTTACAAGCTTTGATCGACTGGGCAACACATACTAAGCACAGTGCCACTTAGAAACAAGACGACTGCACGGGCGCACACCGCAATAGTGCACAAGACAAGAAATTCAAAGCAACACAGATGCAGACCACGGCTCATCACGGAGAGCGGGGAAGACTAATCCCACGGGCCTCTCCCACGATTCTTATGCACCAATGGGCAGCGGAATGCAAAGGCCAGGAGCGAGCCCTAATTGCAGCATGGCTTGCCTCAGGCGGCAAGCGGAGAAAGGTAAAACCATCCAGACTTATGATGGATGTTTTGCATGGCACGGGCCTTGCCGTACTCGCCGACGCATTCCTTCCACAAGTCCATGTTGTCAGACTTCGTTAGCAGGTAGTCGCCCATCCGGCCGGAGACTGGCATCGCAGGCGTTTTCTTCTCTTCGAAGTCCTTGTACCACCCGTCCTTGACCAACATGAACTTCATGTGGTTCCGAGTTCGGCATAGCGGAACTGCTTGTATCTGTGGGTGGCGCAGTCCTTGCCGTACTTGGCATTGTAGCCCTTCCACCAGCCCATGTTGGCAGCCTTCTTCTGCAGGTTTCGACCTTGTTGATATTGCGATGGCCTGGGGCATCGATGACGACTGTGTAGTGCCACTTCTCGGTGTAGAAGTCTTGGGTGGTGCAGGCGCTGGTCACCCCGCACTCGTGCTCCTCCTTCTGACGGTCCATGTAGAACGTGAAGGCGATGGGGCCTGGTACTAGGTATACGGCCTCCTCCTTGAGCTTCTCCAGCTCGCGTTGCGGAAGGCCGCCCAGGTCGTAGTTGAGGCGGGCGGAGTTGGTGCTCTCGCCGATGTCGACATGCCCGCAGATCACGAAGGAGAGGTGCTCCTTCGCAAGAGTGGCAGGCATGGCAGACTGGTGGGGAATGATCCGAAAAACTCTGGGGGCGGAAGCGAACGCGAAATGTTCGAGCCCCAAGCTCCTGGACCAGACCAGGAGTGAAATGCTGTGGTGTCCTCGGCCCCCAGAGGCCGAGGACTTGAGCCAGGAGGAGGAGGAGGAGGAGGAGGAGGAGGAGGAGGAGGAGGGGGAGGAGGGGGAGGAGGGAGAGGAGGGGGGGGGAAGGGGGAGGGGGGGAGGAGGAGGGGGGAGAAGGAGGAGGGGGAGGAGGAGGAGGAGGAGGAGGAGGAGGAGGAGGAGGAGGAGGATGGAGGAGGAGGAGGAGGAGGGAGGAGGAGGACGCAGAGCCAGCGTGCGGGGCCCTCCGGGGGGCCCTCCAGGGGCCGTGCGGGGGCAGGCCTCGGGCTGTCTCTCGGGGTCACGGGGCCGTCCCGGGCTGGCTGGGGGCGGGGCCGTCTTGGTCGGGGGCGGAAAAGAGGGGGGTGATGACTAGGGGGGTTGGATATCATGGCGGGGGCCGCGATTTTTCCCCAGATCTCGTGGCGCCTCTTCTTATTTCATTACGTCCCTGGCCCCCCCGCTGGGCCGCGCACATGCCGCCGGTCATGATTTGCACCCCCCCCTCCCGGGCTGGCTTGGGGCGGGGCCGTCTTGGAGGAGGTCCTCTGGGCCGTTCTTAAAACGACGCGAAGATCGGGACAAAATGGGATCGGGATGACTCGAAGTTTCTGAGAATCGGCGGGTTTGGAGGAAGTATTGGGCGCCGCGGCCGCTCCAGAGCGTTCCGGAACGCTCCGAGAGCACTCCGGAACGCTCTGGAGCGATTGATCCCGATCCTAGCCCTGTTTTAATTCTGGGCACCGTCAGGGGATCCTCCTGGACTGTTGAGGTGTCGTCCACGGCGGCCCGGAGGCCAAAGCTAGAGTCAGAGCCTGAGCAGAGGCCATCTTAGGCCCTCTGGGCTTGGACAAGCGGAAGCATCGCGTCTTCCCAAGTCGGTCGATTTGTGTAGGAATATGCATGGAACCCTGAGTGGGTGGAACCCTGAGCGTGAGGAGCCCCATGTGCGTGTGTGTGTGTGTGTGTGTGTGTGTGTGTGTGTGTGTGTGTGTGTCTGTGTGTCTGTGTGTCTGTGTGTCTGTGTGTCTGTGTGTCTGTGCATGCGTGCGTGCGTGCGTGCGTGCGTGCGTGCGTGCGTGCGTGCGTGTGTGTGTGTGTGTGTGTGTGTTTGTGTTTGAGTTCGTCGAGCGCTTGAGGTCTTCTTCGGGGCTGTTGTGTGCCTCTTGAGGCCATGCCGGAGAGCCCCAGGGAGGCATTCTACCACGCCTCAGCGTGCCAGGGAGCACGGTGCCAGATAAGCCTTTAGTAGTGTGCATGCTCACGTCTTTTATGGGCGGGCTGGGCTTGTGCGCGCCGCGCGCAGCCCGCGCCCGGCCCTGCGTAATCCAGGACAGGCGCGGGCCTGTCGCGTGGGCCGGCACGCACGCTTTACAATACATGCGAGATGTTTTTTGCTGCGCTGCGCGCTTCGGTTGGCGCGCCTGGAGCCTGGGCTCGGCAAGCGCCTATTGCCGATCAGGGCGCTGGGATGCGTGCAGCGGGCGCTGGCGTGTGCACCCTCGCGTCGAGCGGCTTTCGAAGCCTTCGAAGAGTTCGCTCGTGCAGAATTTTTCGGAGCCGCGGAAGTCCTTGTCCTCCTCGCCCTCTCCCTCTTCCTTTTTCGCGCGGGATCGACTTCTGCTTCACAGTCGTGATGTGCCCTGCTCTTCTGCTTCGCAGTCGGGCGCTCTGTCGTTATGTGTCCGTTTCACAATCGAACGGCCGCGCACGTCCTGCTGGAAACCCGGCTCAGTGGCGGCAGTTGTGCCAAAGCGCCGTGCTTAGGGTTGGCGCATGGTTTCTGTATTGTTGCACTGTACGGGCTTACACGTAAGGTGTTAAGCACGACTTGGGTCCTGGAGGGACCCTTCTGGTCTCCTGCGCCATCGCAACAGCGAAATGCACTTGCCGCGATTCGGGTGGATCTGGCAACCTTGACATCTGCAGCGCGCCGACTGAGAAATGGATGGCGCGTTCGATCGTGCATGGTTTGAGTTGTGGCCGAAACAGAGAAGCACCGTGTGCATGGATCTCTTGCCATTGGTCGCCGTTTCAGGTGCCGCGCGCACCGTATCCCCCATCCATCAATTTCCGCATGTGTGTGCGACCCGAGAAATTCTATGCTTTCGAGTGCACCCACCGTTGGAGGTCAGGCATGAGGTCTCGCATCGGTATGCGCATAGTGTGTATTGTGAGTTATTCGGTTCACGAGGCGGCAGGCCGTTGTATGAAGTAGAGGCTGCCCACTCGCGAGATTATGCTTCCATTCGTCTCAAGCCCACTGGTGCTTTCATTGCCTGGCTCTTCGGAGCCATCTCGTTCGGAGCGGTCGGTCTTGTGTGTTCGAAGCTGGCGCGAACAAACATTCGGGGAAAGCCTTCGGCCTTGGGTGGGTGTACGTTCCATCGTGGTCAGGCCAGGAGGAGCGCGTGTGTTCACAGCGATCCTGAGCCAACGATTGGCCGATATCGGTGTCGGTGGATAGTTGCAAATGCTTTGCTCGAGCGCGTGTCGCCGTGCTTCCAGACTAAGTGTGCTCGATCCGCTGGTTGCCGCATTGGCTCAAGATCTATGCTGTCTGCTGTAGAGCACACATGGGCCGAGGAAGCAAACGCAATCTATCTTCGCTGCCCAATCCGCGGGGGCGGCTCGGGAAGTTTTCTTTCCAGCAAGGAAGAATGCAGCTAGCTGACCAGAGAGGGGCGGAGCAGCTCCAGGACGGCCGTTATCCCCGTCGCGGCAGCCCGTGAGGTCGGCGGCATGGGTCTGAGAGAGTGGCCATTCGCCTGGTGCGCCACCGTGGACAAGGCCGCGCAGCAGGAACGGGCGGACGCGAGTGCTACCACCACGGACAGCGATTAGCACGAGGAGCCCGACTTTGCCGCCCTGCGCGGCCACTTGGAGCTCGTCCTCGCGAGAGCCGTGCCGACCGTGCCCGAGGTCCAGCACCTGTGGGCGTGCCTCAGCGAGCTGGCGCGCTCCCTCGCGCCGCTGGGGCGGGTCTGGCGCCTATCGCTGAGCCTGCGCTTCGCTGGCGCCGTGGACCTCTCCTGCCACAACACGGAGCCGCTGCGGAACTCGCAGCTGCTCCGTTCCGCGCCTACGCGCAGGTCAGCCCGCTGGTGCGGGGCCTGGCGCTGCTGGTGAAGCTCTGGTCCAAGGCCGCGGGCGTCTGCGGGGCGCAGAGCCAGAACCTGACCTCCTACGCGCTGGCGCTGATGGCGATCTACTTCCTGCAGGTCCACCCCGACTTCGGGCTGCCCCTGCTCTCCACGCAGCTCTTCGACGGCTTCGGGCGCCTGCCGCCCGCTCCGCGCTGGGAGTGCCGGGCCCCGCTGCCTGGGGCGCTGCGGCAGCTTTTCGCGTTCTACGCGCGGGAGTTCGAGTGGAGCCGGGAGGTCGTCTCGATGCGGCTCGGCCGGTGGTGCAGGGCTGGCGGCCCAGAGTTCACCCTGTTGCCGAATGCCGCGGATCACCGCCTGCACGTGGAGGACCCCTTCCTCACGGGGAGGAACCTGAACTGCGTGCTCGGCCTCGAGCAGGAGGCCCAGCTGCAGGCGGCGCTGCGCGCCGCCGAGGCCGCGCTGCGGGGTGGCGGCCTGCCACCGGGCCTGGGCGGCGCGGCGGTGAGCGCCGGCGGAGGGCTTGCTGGCTGCGGGTGGTGATGGTCCGCGCGGGGCTCGTGCCGCGGGAGACCTGCTGGGCGGCCTTCCGGGCTGGGCCCGCTCTGGGCCCGAGGGGGAGGACGACGATGCAGGCTGGAGTCTCCTGAGGCAAAGACTTTTTTCTTGGACGCCTGTCGGCATCGGCTCCTCCTTCGTTATCCGTTTGCGCTGCCGCGCACGACAGCCACCGCGCTCGCGTGTGTTGGCGGTGTATGAATGTCAAGGTTCCTCTTGGAACATGGATGTTGACACGCCTCTTGAGAGCGTGCCTGGAGCGGGCGCCTCGTGGACCTGGCCCGTCGTGGGCTTCTCTGCGGGGCCCTCTGGGGGCCTCGGGGCCGTCTGGGGAGGCCTTCCGGGCTGGGCCCGCTCTGGGCCCGAGGGGGAGGAGGAGGAGGGCGCATGCTGGAGTCTTCGAGGCAAAGGCTTCCCGCGCACGCTCGGGTGTGCTTCGTACTTTGCAACGCTGTAGCCTGACCTGGAGGTGGCCGTTTATGAACTGAATGTCGAGGGTCCTCTTGGAACATGGATGTTGCGATGCCTCTTGAGAGCGTGCCTGGAGCGGGCGCCTCGTGGGCCCGGCCCGTCGCGGGCTTCTCTGCGGGATCCTCTGGGGGCCTCGGGGCCGTTTCTGGGGAGGTCTTTGGCTGTCTCTGGGGGTCCTGTGGCCAGCTTGGGGGAGTCCTGGGCCATCCTGGGACCGTCTCGGGGCCGTCCTGGACCTTCGAGGCGTCGTCCACGGCGGCTTGAAGTCCATCTAGAGACAGAGCAAAGGCAATCTTGAGTCTGGTGCTTTTTTGGGATAACATCAACACTGCATCACAGGGGCCCCAGGTGGCGGATTCGTGTAGCAATGCGCGTGGAACCCAGTGTGGGTGGAACCATGAGAGTGTGGAGCCCTATGTGTGTGTGTGCGCGTCGAACGCTTGGGGTCTTTTGGGGGCTGTTGGGTGCCTCTTGAGGCAATGCTCTGTTGTCTTGGCGGCCTTGGTGACCTTCCTGGGCCATCTTGGGCGCCTTGAAGAGCGCTGGAGAGCTCCAGGGAGGCGTCGGGCCTTGGAGGGGGGCGCATGCGGGGAAGTTTGACCAGGATGTGTGTGTGTGTGGTGTCCTTCGAAGAGAGCGTTGGCGCAACCCTCACCAGGCAGCGTTGGTGCTTGGGCGGGGACGCGGGGGGGGGGGAACGGCAGTGTATCTGGACGGTGTTTCTCCCCATCTCCAAAGGATGGTGTGCTTGTTACTAATGTGACTGCACGGACCTTCCTTTCACCTCCTCCTCCCTTCTCCGCCTCCCCCTGATGATATGATATGGTATGATCTCTTACATGATGGTAGCTCATGCCATGTTATGCTATGCCATGTTATGCTATGCCATGTTATGTTATGATACGATTTGGTGCTGCTGCTGTTGATGATACTAATGCTGGTGATTCTGATGATGCTGCTGCTGATGATGCTGCTGCTGATGATTCCGCAGATGATGCTGATGCTGCTACTGCGTCTGATGATGCTGCTGATGATGATGCTGACGATGATGCTGTTGCTGATGGTGATGCTGCTGATGATGATGATGCTGATGCTGATGCTGATACTGATGATGATGACGATGCTGTTGCTAATATGCTGATGATGATGATAATGCTGATGCTGATGATGATGATGCTGATGATGATGATACTGATGATGATGATGATGATGCTGATGCTGCTGCTGATGATGCTGATGATGACGACGATGATGATGATGATGATGATGATGATGGTGGTGGTGGTGGTGGTGATGATGATGATGATGCTGATGATGATGGTGGTGGTGGTTGTGATGATGCTGATGCTGATGAGGATGATGATGAGGATGAGGATGAGGATGAGGATGAGGATGAGGATGATGATGATGATGATGATGCTGATGATGATGATGCTGATAATGATGATGATGATGATGATGATGATGCTGATGCTGATGCTGATGATGATGATGAGATGATGATGATGATGATGATGATGATGATGATGATGATGATGATGATGATGATGATGATGATGATGATGATGATGCTGCTGCTTCTGCTGCTGCTGCTGATGATGATGATGATGATGTTGATGATGATGATGATGATGATGATGATGATGATGATGATGATGATGATGATGATGATGATGATGAGGATGATGATGGCGGAGAAATTTCTGGGGAGGCCTCGAGCGGTTTGCTGGTTTCAGCACTCCTAAGGGGGGCCGCCAGGGGTATTGCACGGCCTCCGTTCGCGCCAACATGGCGGGGATGCCTCGAGCGGTGTGCCTGTTTGCATGCCCAACATCTTCCGCTTCGGGAGCAGATTTGGAGGATGTCTCGAGCAGGGCGCTCATTTTCGCCTCCAAGGGGGGCCATAGTTTGAGGTTGTCTCGATCGGTGTGCCTGTTTTGGTGGCCAGACTCGTGAGCACATATTCTCCCCAGGATGCCGCAGGAGGCACCAGGAGGCCCCAGGAGGCCACAGGAGGTCCCAGGAGGCATCAGTAGGCCACAGGAAGACTCAAGCGGCCACAGGATGTCCGAAGAAGCTCCAGGAGGCCCTAGGACCTAGGAAGCTCCACCAGGCCTCAGGAGGCTCCAGGAGGCACCCGGAGGCCCCGAAGGCAACAGGGGGCCCCGAGAGGCCCCAGGAGCAGGAGGCTTCAGGAGGCCGCAGGAGTGGCTCCAATCCCACGTGCTTGACCTATGCTTCCATAGATTCGGCCTCCCCTGGAGCACGAGTCCTTGATGGTGGACGTATGTTTTCGTACGTTGTCCTTCTCCTTATGTTTTCGTACGTTGTCCTTCTCCTGTGTATCCAATCCTACATGCTTTACGTGTGTTCCTATATTTTGGGCCTCCCTTGGGGTGCCCGACTCCTGGGCTTCTCTTGGGGCACGAATCCTCCCTAGGAGTCCCCAGGCCCCAGGAGGCCCCAGGAGGCCCCAGGAGGCCACGCGAGGCCCCAGGAGGCCTCGGGAGGCCACAGGCAGCCCCAAGAGGCCTCCGGGGAGGCCCCCGGAGGCTCCAGGAGGCCCCAGGAGGTTCGGGATGCCCCAGGGGGCCCCAGGCTCATGTGCAGAGACGTGCTTGTACTACTGAGACTCATTCACACCCCAACCAATTCACATTTTGATCCATTCCCAGACCGTCCATACTCAAGTCCACACTCGAAGCGGACAGGTCCATGCGAATAGATGCATCTGGGGAGCTCCACGCAGTGAATCATTATTTTTTTGGTCAGCTGATCGGCGCCTCCTCGTGCCGAACCGCACGTTGGCGCTCGAGGCTATGAGCCACGAGTCCAGAGCTGCCCAGACTGCGCTCTGGTCTGGCCAGACTTATCCGTGTCGTTGTATTCACCGCACTCGCGCGGTTATCGACACAACTCTTCCAAGCCTCAACGTGCCAGGGGGCACGCCGGCGGATAAGTACTTAGCAGTGTGCGTGCACGTCTTTTAAGGTCGGGCTGGGCTTTCGCGCGCCGCGCGCAGCCCGCGCCGGGCACTGCGTAATCCAGGGCAGGTAAGGGCCTGCCGCTTGGTGTTGGCACGCATGTTTCAAACATTGGCGAGACGTTTTTGCTGCGCTACGCGCTTCGGTTGGCGCGCCTGGGGCCTGGGCACGGCAAGCGCGAAAGGCCGATCAGGGCGTTGAGATGCGTGCGGCCGGTGCTGGCGTGTGCGCCCTCGCTTCGGGCGGCTTTGGCAGACTTCGAGGGGCTCACTCGTGCAGATTTTTTCGGAGCCACACGAGCTTACACGTAAGGTGTTAGGCACGGCTTGGGTCCTGGATGAACCCTTTTGGTTTCCTGCGCCATCGCAATAGCGAAATGCACTTGCCGCGATTCGGGTGGATCGGGCAACCTTGACATCTGCAGCGCGCCGACTGAGAAACAGGCTCGTTCGATCGTGCTTGGTTTCAGTTGTGGCCGAAAGAGTGGAGCACCGTGAGCTTAGATCTCGTACCATTGGTCGCTGTCTCAGGTGCCACGCAGGCCGCATCCACCATTCTGACAATGTGTGTGTGTGTATATATATATATATATTACACATACATGTAGACATACATGCATATACATATAAGATATGTGTATATACATTTGTATATCTGTATTTAGATGTATTAATGTGTGTGCGACACAATCAGTGGTATGTTTTGAGTGCGTTCGCCGTTGGAGTCCGCATATTGTGTGTAACGTGTCCGCGTAGTGTGTAATGTGAGTTGTTCGTGTTTGCGAGGCGGCAGGCCGTGGTGTACAGTTGGAGGCTGCCCGTGGTTATGTTTCCATCCATCCGACGCCTTCTGATGGTTTCATTGTGTGGCTCCTCGGAACCATCTACCTGCTGATCATCGCATCCCGCGTGCACTGTGAGACCAGCAATGAGTTCGCACGTGCGGGGAGGTGCACCATTCCGTCTTGCGTGTTCGAAGCGGGCGCGAATGAACTACCAGGGAAAGCTTTTCGTCTGGGGTCGGTGTACGTTCCATCGTGGTCGGACCCGGAGGAGTGCGTTTGCTCGTGCGAGCACTCACAACGATCCTGAGCCAACGATTGGCCAAGATCGGTGTCGGTGAATAGTTAGTGCCCTCTTCGTCTTCAGGGACAACGATAGGGGGAGGATAGGCATAGGGGGGTATGCATCAACCCCCACTCGTCCACTCATCGCCGCTCGGGGCCCAACCCAGCCCGGGAATGTGCGGATTCGTTATCGGGATCCTATCGCCGATCTATTGGCGATGTATCGCCGATTCCAGGTCGATGTTCCCCCCCTCTGCCAGTCCCCCCAAACGTTGTCCATCACTCCTGCCTTCCTCCCTCTCCCCCCCTTCCAATGCAAATGCTTCGTTCGAGCGCGCGTCGTCGTGCCTTCAGACAATGAGTGCTCGATCTGCTGTTTGCCGCATGGGCTCGAGAGCTATGCTGCCGGCTGGAGAGCCCGCACGGGCGGACCCGGCAGACGCAAGCTATCTCCGCTGTCGAGTCCGTCGAGGCGGCTCGGGAGCTCTTCTGGCCAGTGGAAGTACAGCTAGCTGTCCAGAGGAGGTCGGGGCAGCTCAGGGATGACCGTTATCCCCGTCGCGGCAGCCCGTGAGGTCGGCGGCGTGGGTCTCCAAGAGTGGCCATCCGCCTGGCGCGCCACCGTGGACAAGGCCGCGCAGCAGGAGCCGGCGGACGCGAGTGCTACCACCACGGACAGCGAGCAGCACGAGGAGCCCGACTTTGCCGCCCTGCGCGGCCACTTGGAGCTCGTCCTCGCGAGAGCCGTGCCGACCGTGCCCGAGGTCCAGCACCTGTGGGCGTGCCTCAGCGAGCTGGCGCGCTCCCTCGCGCCGCTGGGGCGGGTCTGGCGCCTATCGCCATTCGGGAGCGTGAGGAATCTGCTCCTCACCCGCGGGTCGGACGTCGACGCCACCATCTACAGGTCGGACGGCCAGGACGAGGGCGACTCCGCCGCGGCGGTGCGGGTCCTGCAGGGCAGTGTGCTGCCGCTATTGTCGCAGAGCTCGAGGTTCGAGGTCGTCAGGCTCGTCCCCGGGGCCAGGATCCCGGTGCTGAGCCTGCGCTTCGATGGCGCCGTGGACGTGGACCTCTCCTGCCACAACACGGAGCCGCTGCGGAACTCGCAGCTGCTCCGCGCCTACGCGCAGGTCAGCCCGCTGGTGCGGGGCCTGGCGCTGCTGGTGAAGCTCTGGTCCAAGGCCGCGGGCGTCTGCGGGGCGCAGAGCCGGAACCTCACCTCCTACGCGTTGGCGCTGATGGCGATCTATTTCCTGCAGGTCCACCCCGACTTCGGGCTGCCCCTGCTCTCCACGCAGCTCTTCGACGGCTTCGGGCACCTGCCGCCCGCTCCGCGCTGGGAGTGCCGGGCCCCGCTGCCCGGGGCGCTGCGGCAGTTTTTCGCATTCTACGCGCGGGAGTTCGAGTGGGGCAGGGAGGTCGTCTCTGTGCGGCTCGGCCGGCGGTGCAGGGCTGGCGGCCCAGAGTTCACCCTGTTGCCGAATGCCGCGGATCACCGCCTGCACGTGGAGGACCCCTTCCTCACGGGGAGGAACCTGAACTGCGTGCTCGGCCTCGAGCAGGAGGCCCAGCTGCAGGCGGCGCTGCGCGCCGCCGAGGCCGCGCTGCGGGGTGGCGGCCTGCCACTGGGCCTGGGCGGCGTGGCGGTGAGCGCCGGCGGAGGGCTTGCTGGCTGCGGGTGGTGATGGTCCGCGCGGGGCTCGTGCCGCGGGAGACCTGCTGGGCGGCCTTCCGGGCTGGGCTTGCTCTAGGCCCGAGGGGCGGGGATCGAGGAGGAGGACGCAGGCTGGAGTCTTCGAGGCAAATGCTTCCCGCGCACGCTCGGGTGTGCTTCGTACTTGGCAACGCTGTAGCCTGACCTGGCGGTGACGGTGTATGAAGTGAGTGTCGATGAGATGCCCGTTGAGGGCGTGTCTGGAGCGGGCCCCTTGGTTCCTCTTGGAACATGGATGTTGCGATGCCTCTTGAGAGCGTGTCTGGAGCGGTCGCCTTGTGGGCCCGGCCCGTCGCGGGCTTCTCTGCGGGGTCCTCTGGGGGCCTCGGGGCCGTCTGGGGAAGTATTTCGCTGTCTCTGGGGATCCTGTGGCCATCTTGGGGGGGAGTCCTGGGCCATCCTGGGACCGTCTTGGGGCCACAGCGGCTTGAAGGCCATCTAGAGACAGAGCAGAGGCAATCTTGAGTCCGATGCTTTTGGGGTAACAGAACATTGCACCGCAGGGGCCCCAGACGGCGGATTCGTGTAGCACTGTGTGTGGAACCCAGTGTGGGTGGAATCCTGAGGGTGTGGAGCCCTGTGTGTGTGTGCGTCGAACCCTTGGAGTCTTCTTGGAGGCTGTTGGGTGCCTCTGGAGGCAATGCTCTGTCGTCTGGGCGGCCTTGGTGACCTTCCTGGGCCATCTTGGGCGCCTCGGAGAGCGCTGGAGAGCCCCGCGGAGGCGTCGGGCCTTGGAGGGGGGCGCATGCGGCGAAGTTTGACCAGGATGTGTGTGTGTGTGTGTGTGTGTGTGTGTGTGTGCGTGCGTGCGTGCGTGCGTGCGTGCGTGCGTGTGTGCGTGTGTGCGTGCGTGCGTGCGTGCGTGCGTGCGTGCGTGCGTGCGTGCCCGCGTGCGTGCGTGCGTGCGTGTGCGTGTGTGTGTGTGTGTGTGTGTGTGTGTGTGTGTGTGCGTGCGTGCGTGTGTGCGTGCCTGCGTGCGTGCGTGCGTGTGGTGTGTGTGTGTGTGTGCGTGTGCGTGTGTTTGTGTGCGTGCGTGCGTGCGTGCGTGCGTGCGTGCGTGCGTGCGTGCGTGCGTGCGTGCGTGCGTGCGTGCGTGTGGGCGCAACCCTCACCAGGCAGCGTTGGGGCTTGGGGGGGGGACGTGGGGGAGAGGAACGGCAGTGCATCTGGACGGTGTTTTCATTTTTGGTCAGCCGATCGGCGCCTCCTCGTGCTGAAGCGCACGTTGGCGCTCGAGGCTATGAACCACGAGACCAGAGCGGCCCAGACTGCGCCCTCTTCTGGCCAGACCTATCATGTGTCGTTGGATTCATCGCATTCGCGCGGTCATCAACACTATTCTACCACGCCTCAACGTGCCAGGGGGCACGGCGGCGAACAAGGACTCAGCAGTGTGCGTGCATGTCTTGAGAGGTCGGGCTGGGCTTGCGTGCGACGCGCGCAGCCTGCGCCAGGCCCTGCTGTATCCCAGGGCAGGCGAGGGCCTGCCGCTTTGGTTGGCACGCACGTTTTCAAATATTGGCGAGACGTTTTTGCTGCGCTACGCGCTTCGGTTGGCGCGCCTGGGGCCTGGGCACGGCAAGCGCGCACGGCCGATCAGGGCGCTGGGATGCGTGCGGCGGGCGCTAGCGTGCGCGCCCTCGCTTCGGGCGGCGTTCGCAGTCTTCGATGGGGCTCACTCATGCAGATTTGTTCGGAGCCATACGGGCCTACCGCTAAGGTGTTAAGCACGACTTGTGTCCTGGATAAACCCTTTTGGTTTCCTGCGCCATCGCAATAGCGAAATGCACTTGCCGCGATTCGGGTGGATCTGGCAACCTTGACATCTGCAGCGCGCCGACTGAGAAACAGGCGCGTTCGATCGTGCTTGATTTCAGTTGTGGCCGTGTGCTTGGATCTCCTACCATTGGTCGCTGTCGCAGGTGCCACGCAGGCCGCATCCCACATCCTGCTGATGTGTATGCATGTATGCACATGTACATATACACATATATATATATATATGTATATATACATGCTAAATCTACGTGTGTTCTATATATATATATATTCATTCATATACATTGGTACAGTTCAGTATATGCCATGTATGTGTGCATATATGTCTACATATGTATGAATGTATGTGCAACCCCAACAGTTGTATGTTTCCGAGAGCGTCCGCCGTTGGAGGTCAGGCGTCAGGTCGCGCATATGTGTCCGCATAGTATGTAATACGTGTGATTCGTGCTCGCGAGGCGGCAGGCCGTGGTATGACATATATGTTGTCCACGCGCAAGGTTATGCTTCCATCCGTCTCAAGCCCTCTGATGTTTTCATTGTCTGGCTCTTAGGAACCATCTACCCGCTGATCATCGCATCCGACCTCCACTAGGAAACTATCGAGGAATCGCACTCGCGGGGAGAGGTTCCGTCTTGTGTGCTCGAAGCGGGCGCGAACTATCAGCCGGGGAATGCCTTTGGCCCAGGGTCGGTGTACTTACGTTCCGTCCTTACAGCGATCCCGAGCCAATGATTGGCCAAGATCGGTGTCGGTGAATAGTTGGCGCCCTCCGTCAGGGACAACGATAGGGGGGATAGACACAGGGGGATGCATCGACCCCCGATCGTCCATTCATCGCCGCTCGGGGCCCACTCCCGCCCAGGAAGGTGCGGATTCACTATCGGGAGCCTATCGCCGATCTATTGGCGATGTACCGCCGATTCCAGGTCGATGTTCCCCCCCTATGCCAGTCCCCCCCTAACGTTGTCCCTCCTTCCTGCCTTCCTCTCTCTCTCTCTCCCCCCTTTCTACTGCACATGCTTCGGTCGATCGCGCGTCGTCGTTCTTCCAGACTATGTGTGCTCGATCTGCTGGTTGCCGCATGGGCTCGAGAGCTATGCCGCCTGCTGGAAAGCCCGCACGGGCGGACCCAGCAAACGCAAGCTATCTTCGCTGCCGAGTCCATCGAGGCGGCTCGGGAGCTCTTCTGGCCAGTGGAAGTACTACAGCTAGCTGTCCAGAGGAGGTCGGGGCAGCTCAGGGATGACCGTTATCCCCGTCGCGGCAGCCCGTGAGGTCGGCGGCGTGGGTCTCCAAGAGTGGCCATCCGCCTGGCGCGCCACCGTGGACAAGGCCGCGCAGCAGGAGCCGGCGGACGCGAGTGCTACCACCACGGACAGCGAGCAGCACGAGGAGCCCGACTTTGCCGCCCTGCGCGGCCACTTGGAGCTCGTCCTCGCGAGAGCCGTGCCGACCGTGCCCGAGGTCCAGCACCTGTGGGCGTGCCTCAGCGAGCTGGCGCGCTCCCTCGCGCCGCTGGGGCGGGTCTGGCGCCTATCGCCATTCGGGGCGTGAGGAATCTGCTCCTCACCCGCGGGTCCACGTCGACCGCACCATCTACAGGTCGGACGGCCAGGACGAGGGCGACTCCGCCGCGCGGTGCGGGTCCTGCAGGGCAGTGTGCTGCCGCTATTGTCGCAGAGGCTCGAGGTTCGAGGTCGTCAGGCTCGTCCCCGGGCCGGGGCCCCTGCAGGATCCCGGTCCTGAGCCTGCGCTTCGATGGCGCCGTGGACGTGGACCTCTCCTGCCACAACACGGAGCCGCTGCGGAACTCGCAGCTGCTCCGCGCCTACGCGCAGGTCAGCCCGCTGGTGCGGGGCCTGGCGCTGCTGGTGAAGCTCTGGTCCAAGGCCGCGGGCGTCTGCGGGGCGCAGAGCCGGAACCTCACCTCCTACGCGTTGGCGCTGATGGCGATCTATTTCCTGCAGGTCCACCCCGACTTCGGGCTGCCCCTGCTCTCCACGCAGCTCTTCGGCGGCTTCGGGCACCTGCCGCCCGCTCCGCGCTGGGAGTGCCGGGCCCCGCTGCCCGGGGCGCTGCGGCAGTTTTTCGCATTCTACGCGCGGGAGTTCGAGTGGGGCAGGGAGGTCGTCTCGGTGCGGCTCGGCCGGCGGTGCAGGGCTGGCGGCCCAGAGTTCACCCTGTTGCCGAATGCCGCGGATCACCGCCTGCACGTGGAGGACCCCTTCCTCACGCGCAGGAACCTGAACTGCGTGCTGGGCCTCGAGCAGGAGGCCCAGCTGCAGGCCGCGCTGCGCGCCGCCGAGGCCGCGCTGCGGGGTGGCGGCCTGCCACTGGGCCTGGGCGGCGTGGCGGTGAGCGCCGGCGGAGGGCTTGCTGGCTGCGGGTGGTGATGGTCCGCGCGGGGCTCGGCGGCCTTCCGGGCTGGGCCCGCTCTAGGCCCGAGGGGGAGGACGACGAGGCAGGCTGGAGTCTCCTGAGGCAAAGACTTTTTTCGGGGACGCCTGTCGGCATCGACTCCTCCTTCGTTATCCATTTGCGCTGCCGCGCACGACAGCCACCGCGCTCGGGTACGCCTCGTACTTGGCAACGCTGTACCCTGGTTCGGTTGTGGCGACGTATGACATTGATGTCGAGGTTCCTCTTGGAACGCGATGTATGCATATACGATGTGGAGATGCCGAGGTGCCTCTTGCGAGCGTGTCTGGAGCGGGTGCCTCGTGGGCCTGGCCCGTCGCGGGCTTCTGCGGGGCCGTCTGGGGAGGTCTTTGGCTCTCTCTTGGGGTCATGCGGCCGTCTTGGGCTGGTTTGGGGCGGCCGTCTCTGCGCCGTCTTGGAGGACTTGGGCCATCCTGGGACCGTCTTGGGGCCCTCCTGGACCATTGAGCGTTGTCCACAGCGACTTGAAGGCCATCTGGTGATAGAGCAGAGGCCATCGTAAGCCCTCTGGTCCGGAACAGCGGAAACATTGCATCGCAAGGGTGCCAGCGCATGCACCCCATACGGTCGATTCGTGTACGTAGCAATGTGCATGGGAACCTCGTGTGGGTGGACCCCTGAGTGTGTAAAGTTCCATATATGTGTATGTGTGTTTGTGTGTGTGTGTGTTTGTGTTTGTGTTTGTGCTTGTGTTTGTGTTTGTGTGTGCGTGTTTTTGTGTGTTTGTGTGTGTGTGTGTGCGTGTGTTAGTCGAACGTTCGAGGTCTTCTTTCTTCGGGGTTGTTGGGTGCCTCTTGAGGCCATGCTGGGCCATCTTGGCGTCTCTGGTGACCTTCCTGGGCCATCTTGCGCGCCTCGGAAAGTGCTGGAGAGCCCCAGGTAGGCATTCTACCACTGCTCAACGTGCCAGGGCCGGGGACACGAAAGGCTCGAGTACGCCGGGACTCTGGTTTGCCGACGTTTTTTGAGGAGCGCGTCCTGGGTTTTGGCGGTCCAGTTTTCGTGGGATGTCTGCAGCGGGAGCTCGCGTCAAATTTCAGACCGGGTCTCGTCCTTTTCGCCATGGCCCCGTCGGGCCAGCCAGAGTCTTCCGAACCCGAGTCTTACATCCCCCCGACAGGGGGGCACGGCGGCGGATAAGGACTCAGCAGCGTGCGTGCATGTCTCGAGAGGTCGGGCTGGGCTTGCGTGCGCCGCGCGCAGCCCGCGCCAGGCCCTGCCGTATCCCAGGGCAGGCGAGGGCCTGCCGCTTTGGTTGGCACGCACGTTTTAAAATATTGGCGAGACGTTTTTGCTGCGCTACGCGCTTCGGTTGGCGCGCCTGGGGCCTGGGCACGGCAGGCGCCTGCTGCCGATCAGGTCGCGGGGATGCGTGCGGCGGGCGGCTGGCGTGCGCGCCCTCGCTTCGGGCGGCGTTCGCAGCCTTCCAGGGGCTCACGCATGCAGATTTGTTCGGAGCCACACGGCTTTCACGCGAGGTGTTAAGCATGACACTGGGTCCTGAATGGACCCCTCTGGTCTCCTGCGCCATCGCAATGGCGAAGTGCACTTGTGCCGCGATCCGGGTGAACCGGGCACCTTTGACCCTTGACATCTGCAGCGCGCCGACTGATAAATCAATTGCGCGTTCGTTCGTGATCTGTTGCAGCTGTGGCCGACGCAGGGAAGCACTGTGTGCTTGTATCTGTTGCCATTGGTCGCCGCCTCAGGTGCCGCGCAGGCCGCGCCCCCCCCAGCCAGCAAGTCCGTATGTGTGAGTGCGCGACCCGAGCAATGATGCGTTTCCGAGTGCGCCCACCGGTGGAGGTCAGGCTTGAGGACTCGCATCTGTGCCCGCATGTTGTGTACTGTGAGTTGTTCGTGCTCGCGAGGTGGCGGGCCGTGGTGTGAAGTAGGGGCTGCCGACGCGCGGAGTTCTGTTTCTTTCCGTCTCAAGCCCTTTTTTTATGCTTTCATCGTCTGTCTCTTCGGAACCATCTCGGCGCTGGTCGTCGCATTCTCCACGTCCACCAGGAGACCATCGATGAATCGCGCGCTCGGGCAGATGCAACGTTCTGTCTTGTGTGTTCAAAGCGGGCGCGAGCTAACAACCACCCAAACTGGTGTTGGCCAGGGGAAGCTCTTGACCTAGTGTCGGTGTGCGTTCCCTCGTGGTCAGGCCTGCAGGAGCGCGTGTGCTTACAGCGATCCTGAGCCAATGATTCGCCGACATCGGTGTCGGTGGATATGATTGGCGCCCTCCTGCCTTCCGCCCTTTTCCCCCTTTCCGCTGCAGCTGCTTCGTTCGAGCGCGCGTCGTTGTGCTTCCAGACTGTGCGTGCTCGATCCGCTGGTTGCCACATCTGCTCAAGATCGATGCTGTGTTGGAGAGCCCGTGCGGGCCGAGCAAGCACTCGCAAGGTATCTTCGCTGCCGAGTCCGTCGACGGGGCTCGGGAGTTTTTTTCTGGCCAGTGAGAGTACAGCTAGCTGATCAGAAAGGGGCGGAGCATCGGTAGGATGGCCTTTGTTCCCGTGGCGGCAGCCCGTAAGGTCGGCGGCGTGGGTCTCAGAGAGTGGCCATCCGCCCGGTACGATGCTGTAGACAAGGCCGCAGGGCAGAGATCGTCGGGCGCGAGTGCTACCACCACGGACAGCGAGCAGTACGAGGCGCCCGACTTTGCCACCCTGGGCAGAGTTCGTCCTCGCGCGAGCCGTGCCGACCGTGCCGGAGGCTCAGAACCTGTGGGCGTGCCTCAGCGAGCTGGCGCGCTCCCACGCGCCGCTGGGGCGGGTCTGGCGCCTATCGCCATTCGGGAGCGTGAGGAACCTGCTCCTCGCCCGCGGGTCGGACGTCGACGCCACCATCTACAGGTCGGACGGCCAGGACGAGGGCGACTCCGCCGCGGCGGTGCGGGTCCTGCAGGGCAGTGTGCTGCCGCTGCTGTCGCAGAGCCCGAGGTTCGAGGTCGTCAGGCTCGTCCCCGGGACCAGGATCCCGGTGCTGAGCCTGCGCTTCGATGGCGCCGTGGACGTGGACCTCTCCTGCCACAACACGGAGCCGCTGCGGAACTCGCAGCTGCTCCGCGCCTACGCGCAGGTCAGCCCGCTGGTGCGGGGCCTGGCGCTGCTGGTGAAGCTCTGGTCCAAGGCCGCGGGCGTCTGCGGGGCGCAGAACCGCAACCTGACCTCCTACGCGTTGGCGCTGATGGCGATCTACTTCCTGCAGGTCCACCCCGACTTCGGGCTGCCCCTGCTCTCCACGCAGCTCTTCGACGGCTTCGGGCACATGCCGCCCGCTCCGCGCTGGGAGTGCCGGGCCCCGCTGCCCGGGGCGCTGCGGCAGTTTTTCGCATTCTACGCGCGGGAGTTCGAGTGGGGCAGGGAGGTCGTCTCTGTGCGGCTCGGCCGGCGGTGCAGGGCTGGCGGCCCAGAGTTCACCCTGTTGCCGAATGCCGCGGATCACCGCCTGCACGTGGAGGACCCCTTCCTCACGGGGAGGAACCTGAACTGCGTGCTCGGCCTCGAGCAGGAGGCCCAGCTGCAGGCGGCGCTGCGCGCCGCCGAGGCCGCGCTGCGGGGTGGCGGCCTGCCACTGGGCCTGGGCGGCGTGGCGGTGAGCGCCGGCGGAGGGCTTGCTGGCTGCGGGTGGTGATGGTCCGCGCGGGGCTCGTGCCGCGGGAGACCTGCTGGGCGGCCTTCCGGGCTGGGCTTGCTCTAGGCCCGAGGGGCGGGGATCGAGGAGGAGGACGCAGGCTGGAGTCTTCGAGGCAAATGCTTCCCGCGCACGCTCGGGTGTGCTTCGTACTTGGCAACGCTGTAGCCTGACCTGGAGGTGACGGTGTATGAAGTGAGTGTCGATGAGATGCCCGTTGAGGGCGTGTCTGGAGCGGGCCCCTTGGTTCCTCTTGGAACATGGATGTTGCGATGCCTCTTGAGAGCGTGTCTGGAGCGGTCGCCTTGTGGGCCCGGCCCGTCGCGGGCTTCTCTGCGGGGTCCTCTGGGGGCCTCGGGGCCGTCTGGGGAAGTATTTCGCTGTCTCTGGGGATCCTGTGGCCATCTTGGGGGGGAGTCCTGGGCCATCCTGGGACCGTCTTGGGGCCACAGCGGCTTGAAGGCCATCTAGAGACAGAGCAGAGGCAATCTTGAGTCCGATGCTTTTGGGGTAACAGAACATTGCACCGCAGGGGCCCCAGACGGCGGATTCGTGTAGCACTGTGTGTGGAACCCAGTGTGGGTGGAATCCTGAGGGTGTGGAGCCCTGTGTGTGTGTGCGTCGAACCCTTGGAGTCTTCTTGGAGGCTGTTGGGTGCCTCTGGAGGCAATGCTCTGTCGTCTGGGCGGCCTTGGTGACCTTCCTGGGCCATCTTGGGCGCCTCGGAGAGCGCTGGAGAGCCCCGCGGAGGCGTCGGGCCTTGGAGGGGGGCGCATGCGGCGAAGTTTGACCAGGATGTGTGTGTGTGTGTGTGTGTGTGTGTGTGTGTGTGTGTGTGCGTGCGTGCGTGCGTGCGTGCGTGCGTGCGTGCGTGTGTGCGTGCGTGCGTGCGTGCGTGCGGCGTGCGTGCCGGCGTGCGTGCGTGCGTGCGTGCGTGCGTGCGTGTGTGTGTGTGTGTGTGTGTGTGTGTGTGTGTGTGTGTGTGTGTGGTGCCGTGCGTGCGTGCACGCGCACGTGCGTGCGTGCTGCGCGCGTGCGTGTGTGTGTGTGTGTGTGTGCGTGCGTGCGTGCGTGGTGTCGTGCGTGCGTGCGTGCGTGCGTGCGTGCGTGCGTGCGTGCGTGTGGGCGCAACCCTCACCAGGCAGCGTTGGGGCTGGGGGGGGGGACGTGGGGGAGAGGAACGGCAGTGCATCTGGACGGTGTTTTCATTTTTGGTCAGCCGATCGGCGCCTCCTCGTGCTGAAGCGCACGTTGGCGCTCGAGGCTATGAGCCACGAGACCAGAGCGGCCCAGACTGCGCCCTCTTCTGGCCAGACCTATCATGTGTCGTTGGATTCATCGCATTCGCGCGGTCATCAACACTATTCTACCACGCCTCAACGTGCCAGGGGGCACGGCGGCGAACAAGGACTCAGCAGTGTGCGTGCATGTCTTGAGAGGTCGGGCTGGGCTTGCGTGCGACGCGCGCAGCCTGCGCCAGGCCCTGCTGTATCCCAGGGCAGGCGAGGGCCTGCCGCTTTGGTTGGCACGCACGTTTTCAAATATTGGCGAGACGTTTTTGCTGCGCTACGCGCTTCGGTTGGCGCGCCTGGGGCCTGGGCACGGCAAGCGCGCACGGCCGATCAGGGCGCTGGGATGCGTGCGGCGGGCGCTAGCGTGCGCGCCCTCGCTTCGGGCGGCGTTCGCAGTCTTCGATGGGGCTCACTCATGCAGATTTGTTCGGAGCCATACGGGCCTACCGCTAAGGTGTTAAGCACGACTTGTGTCCTGGATAAACCCTTTTGGTTTCCTGCGCCATCGCAATAGCGAAATGCACTTGCCGCGATTCGGGTGGATCTGGCAACCTTGACATCTGCAGCGCGCCGACTGAGAAACAGGCGCGTTCGATCGTGCTTGATTTCAGTTGTGGCCGTGTGCTTGGATCTCCTACCATTGGTCGCTGTCGCAGGTGCCACGCAGGCCGCATCCCACATCCTGCTGATGTGTATGCATGTATGCACATGTACATATACACATATATATGTATATATACATGCTAAATCTACGTGTGTTCTATATATATATATATATATATTCATTCATATACATTGGTACAGTTCAGTATATGCCATGTATGTGTGCATATATGTCTACATATGTATGAATGTATGTGCAACCCCAACAGTTGTATGTTTCCGAGAGCGTCCGCCGTTCGAGGTCAGGCGTCAGGTCGCGCATATGTGTCCGCATAGTATGTAATACGTGTGATTCGTGCTCGCGAGGCGGCAGGCCGTGGTATGACATGTATGTTGTCCACGCGCGAGGTTATGCTTCCATCCGTCTCAAGCCCTCTGATGTTTTCATTGTCTGGCTCTCAGGAACCATCTACCCGCTGATCATCGCATCCGACCTCCACTAGGAAACTATCGAGGAATCGCACTCGCGGGGAGATGTTCCGTCTTGTGTGCTCGAAGCGGGCGCGAACTATCCACCAGGGAATGCCTTTGGCCCAGGGTCGGTGTACTTACGTTCCGTCCTTACAGCGATCCTGAGCCAATGATTGGCCAAGGTCGGTGTCGGTGAATCGTTGGCGCCCTCCGTCAGAGACAACGATCGGGGTGGATAGACACAGGGGGATGCATCGACCCCCGATCGTCCATCCATCGCCGCTCGGGGCCCACTCCCGCCCAGGAAGGTGCGGATTCACTATCGGGAGCCTATCGCCGATCTGTTGGCGATGTACCGCCGATTCCAGGTCGATGTTCCCCCCCTATGCCAGTCCCCCCCTAACGTTGTCCCTCCTTCCTGCCTTCCTCTCTCTCTCTCTCTCCCCCCTTTCTACTGCACATGCTTCGGTCGATCGCGCGTCGTCGTTCTTCCAGACTATGTGTGCTCGATCTGCTGGTTGCCGCATGGGCTCGAAAGCTATGCCGCCTGCTGGAAAGCCCGCACGGGCGGACCCAGCAAACGCAAGCTATCTTCGCTGCCGAGTCCGTCGAGGCGGCTCGGGAGCTCTTCTGGCCAGTGGAAGTACAGCTAGCTGTCCAGAGGAGGTCGGGGCAGCTCAGGGATGACCGTTATCCCCGTCGCGGCAGCCCGTGAGGTCGGCGGCGTGGGTCTCCAAGAGTGGCCATCCGCCTGGCGCGCCACCTTGGACAAGGCCGCGCAGCAGGAGCCGGCGGACGCGAGTGCTACCACCACGGACAGCGAGCAGCACGAGGAGCCCGACTTTGCCGCCCTGCGCGGCCACTTGGAGCTCGTCCTCGCGAGAGCCGTGCCGACCGTGCCCGAGGTCCAGCACCTGTGGGCGTGCCTCAGCGAGCTGGCGCGCTCCCTCGCGCCGCTGGGGCGGGTCTGGCGCCTATCGCCATTCGGGAGCGTGAGGAATCTGCTCCTCACCCGCGGGTCGGACGTCGACGCCACCATCTACAGGTCGGACGGCCAGGACGAGGGCGACTCCGCCGCGGCGGTGCGGGTCCTGCAGGGCAGTGTGCTGCCGCTATTGTCGCAGAGCTCGAGGTTCGAGGTCGTCAGGCTCGTCCCCGGGGCCAGGATCCCGGTCCTGAGCCTGCGCTTCGATGGCGCCGTGGACGTGGACCTCTCCTGCCACAACACGGAGCCGCTGCGGAACTCGCAGCTGCTCCGCGCCTACGCGCAGGTCAGCCCGCTGGTGCGGGGCCTGGCGCTGCTGGTGAAGCTCTGGTCCAAGGCCGCGGGCGTCTGCGGGGCGCAGAACCGCAACCTGACCTCCTACGCGTTGGTGCTGATGGCGATCTATTTCCTGCAGGTCCACCCCGACTTCGGGCTGCCCCTGCTCTCCACGCAGCTCTTCGACGGCTTCGGGCGCCTGCCGCCCGCTCCGCGCTGGGAGTGCCGGGCCCCGCTGCCCGGGGCGCTGCGGCAGTTTTTCGCGTTCTACGCGCGGGAGTTCGAGTGGGGCAGGGAGGTCGTCTCGGTGCGGCTCGGTCGGCGGTGCAGGGCTGGCGGCCCAGAGTTCACCCTGTTGCCGAATGCCGCGGATCACCGCCTGCACGTGGAGGACCCCTTCCTCACGCGCAGGAACCTGAACTGCGTGCTGGGCCTCGAGCAGGAGGCCCAGCTGCAGGCCGCGCTGCGCGCCGCCGAGGCCGCGCTGCGGGGTGGCGGCCTGCCACTGGGCCTGGGCGGCGTGGCGGTGAGCGCCGGCGGAGGGCTTGCTGGCTGCGGGTGGTGATGGTCCGCGCGGGGCTCGGCGGCCTTCCGGGCTGGGCCCGCTCTAGGCCCGAGGGGGAGGACGACGAGGCAGGCTGGAGTCTCCTGAGGCAAAGACTTTTTTCGGGGACGCCTGTCGGCATCGACTCCTCCTTCGTTATCCATTTGCGCTGCCGCGCACGACAGCCACCGCGCTCGGGTACGCCTCGTACTTGGCAACGCTGTACCCTGGTTCGGTTGTGGCGACGTATGACATTGATGTCGAGGTTCCTCTTGGAACGCGATGACGATGTGGAGATGCCGAGGTGCCTCTTGCGAGCGTGTCTGGAGCGGGTGCCTCGTGGGCCTGGCCCGTCGCTGGCTTCTGCGGGGCCGTCTGGGGAGGTCTTTGGCTCTCTCTTGGGGTCATGCGGCCGTCTTGGGCTGGTTTGGGGCGGCCGTCTCTGCGCCGTCTTGGAGGACTTGGGCCATCCTGGGACCGTCTTGGGGCCCTCCTGGACCATTGAGCGTTGTCCACAGCGACTTGAAGGCCATCTGGTGATAGAGCAGAGGCCATCGTAAGCCCTCTGGTCCGGAACAGCGGAAACATTGCATCGCAAGGGTGCCAGCGCATGCACCCCATACGGTCGATTCGTGTACGTAGCAATGTGCATGGGAACCTCGTGTGGGTGGACCCCTGAGTGTGTAAAGTTCCATATATGTGTATGTGTGTTTGTGTGTGTGTGTGTTTGTGTTTGTGTTTGTGCTTGTGTTTGTGTTTGTGTGTGCGTGTTTTTGTGTGTTTGTGTGTGTGTGTGCGTGTGTTAGTCGAACGTTCGAGGTCTTCTTTCTTCGGGGTTGTTGGGTGCCTCTTGAGGCCATGCTGGGCCATCTTGGCGTCTCTGGTGACCTTCCTGGGCCATCTTGCGCGCCTCGGAAAGTGCTGGAGAGCCCCAGGTAGGCATTCTACCACTGCTCAACGTGCCAGGGCCGGGGACACGAAAGGCTCGAGTACGCCGGGACTCTGGTTTGCCGACGTTTTTTGAGGAGCGCGTCCTGGGTTTTGGCGGTCCAGTTTTCGTGGGATGTCTGCAGCGGGAGCTCGCGTCAAATTTCAGACCGGGTCTCGTCCTTTTCGCCATGGCCCCGTCGGGCCAGCCAGAGTCTTCCGAACCCGAGTCTTACATCCCCCCGACAGGGGGGCACGGCGGCGGATAAGGACTCAGCAGCGTGCGTGCATGTCTCGAGAGGTCGGGCTGGGCTTGCGTGCGCCGCGCGCAGCCCGCGCCAGGCCCTGCCGTATCCCAGGGCAGGCGAGGGCCTGCCGCTTTGGTTGGCACGCACGTTTTAAAATATTGGCGAGACGTTTTTGCTGCGCTACGCGCTTCGGTTGGCGCGCCTGGGGCCTGGGCACGGCAGGCGCCTGCTGCCGATCAGGTCGCGGGGATGCGTGCGGCGGGCGGCTGGCGTGCGCGCCCTCGCTTCGGGCGGCGTTCGCAGCCTTCCAGGGGCTCACGCATGCAGATTTGTTCGGAGCCACACGGGCTTTCACGCGAGGTGTTAAGCATGACACTGGGTCCTGAATGGACCCCTCTGGTCTCCTGCGCCATCGCAATGGCGAAGTGCACTTGTGCCGCGATCCGGGTGAACCGGGCACCTTTGACCCTTGACATCTGCAGCGCGCCGACTGATAAATCAATTGCGCGTTCGTTCGTGATCTGTTGCAGCTGTGGCCGACGCAGGGAAGCACTGTGTGCTTGTATCTGTTGCCATTGGTCGCCGCCTCAGGTGCCGCGCAGGCCGCGCCCCCCCCAGCCAGCAAGTCCGTATGTGTGAGTGCGCGACCCGAGCAATGATGCGTTTCCGAGTGCGCCCACCGGTGGAGGTCAGGCTTGAGGACTCGCATCTGTGCCCGCATGTTGTGTACTGTGAGTTGTTCGTGCTCGCGAGGTGGCGGGCCGTGGTGTGAAGTAGGGGCTGCCGACGCGCGGAGTTCTGTTTCTTTCCGTCTCAAGCCCTTTTTTTATGCTTTCATCGTCTGTCTCTTCGGAACCATCTCGGCGCTGGTCGTCGCATTCTCCACGTCCACCAGGAGACCATCGATGAATCGCGCGCTCGGGCAGATGCAACGTTCTGTCTTGTGTGTTCAAAGCGGGCGCGAGCTAACAACCACCCAAACTGGTGTTGGCCAGGGGAAGCTCTTGACCTAGTGTCGGTGTGCGTTCCCTCGTGGTCAGGCCTGCAGGAGCGCGTGTGCTTACAGCGATCCTGAGCCAATGATTCGCCGACATCGGTGTCGGTGGATATGATTGGCGCCCTCCTGCCTTCCGCCCTTTTCCCCCTTTCCGCTGCAGCTGCTTCGTTCGAGCGCGCGTCGTTGTGCTTCCAGACTGTGCGTGCTCGATCCGCTGGTTGCCACATCTGCTCAAGATCGATGCTGTGTTGGAGAGCCCGTGCGGGCCGAGCAAGCACTCGCAAGGTATCTTCGCTGCCGAGTCCGTCGACGGGGCTCGGGAGTTTTTTCTGGCCAGTGAGAGTACAGCTAGCTGATCAGAGAGGGGCGGAGCATCGGTAGGATGGCCTTTGTTCCCGTCGCGGCAGCCCGTAAGGTCGGCGGCGTGGGTCTCAGAGAGTGGCCATCCGCCCGGTACGATGCTGTAGACAAGGCCGCAGGGCAGAGATCGTCGGGCGCGAGTGCTACCACCACGGACAGCGAGCAGTACGAGGCGCCCGACTTTGCCACCCTGGGCAGAGTTCGTCCTCGCGCGAGCCGTGCCGACCGTGCCGGAGGCTCAGAACCTGTGGGCGTGCCTCAGCGAGCTGGCGCGCTCCCACGCGCCGCTGGGGCGGGTCTGGCGCCTATCGCCATTCGGGAGCGTGAGGAACCTGCTCCTCGCCCGCGGGTCGGACGTCGACGCCACCATCTACAGGTCGGACGGCCAGGACGAGGGCGACTCCGCCGCGGCGGTGCGGGTCCTGCAGGGCAGTGTGCTGCCGCTGCTGTCGCAGAGCCCGAGGTTCGAGGTCGTCAGGCTCGTCCCCGGGGCCAGGATCCCGGTGCTGAGCCTGCGCTTCGATGGCGCCGTGGACGTGGACCTCTCCTGCCACAACACGGAGCCGCTGCGGAACTCGCAGCTGCTCCGCGCCTACGCGCAGGTCAGCCCGCTGGTGCGGGGCCTGGCGCTGCTGGTGAAGCTCTGGTCCAAGGCCGCGGGCGTCTGCGGGGCGCAGAACCGCAACCTGACCTCCTACGCGTTGGTGCTGATGGCGATCTACTTCCTGCAGGTCCACCCCGACTTCGGGCTGCCCCTGCTCTCCACGCAGCTCTTCGACGGCTTCGGGCACATGCCGCCCGCTCCGCGCTGGGAGTGCCGGGCCCCGCTGCCCGGGGCGCTGCGGCAGTTTTTCGCATTCTACGCGCGGGAGTTCGAGTGGGGCAGGGAGGTCGTCTCGGTGCGGCTCGTCCGGCGGTGCAGGGCTGGCGGCCCAGAGTTCACCCTGTTGCCGAATGCCGCGGATCACCGCCTGCACGTGGAGGACCCCTTCCTCACGGGGAGGAACCTGAATTGCGTGCTCGGCCTCGAGCAGGAGGCCCAGCTGCAGGCGGCGCTGCGCGCCGCCGAGGCCGCGCTGCGGGGTGGCGGCCTGCCACTGGGACTGGGCGGCGTGGCGGTGAGCGCCAGCGGAGGGCTTGCTGGCTGCGGGTGGTGATGGTCCCTGCGGGGCACGTGCCCCGGGAGATCTGCTGGGCGGCCTTCCGGGCTGGGCCTGCTCTAGGCCCGCGGGGGGGGATCGAGGAGGAGGACGCAGGCTGGAGTCTTCGAGGCAAATGCTTCCCGACAGCCACCGCGCTCGGGTGTGCTTCGTACTTGGCAACGCTGTAGCCTGGCCCGGCCCTGGCGGTGTATGAATGAATGTCAAGGTTCCTCTTGGAACACGGATGTTGACATGCCTCTGGAGAGCGTGCCAGGAGCGGGCGCCTCGTGGGCCTGGCCCGTCGCGGGCTTCTCTGCGGGGCCCTCTGGGGACCTCGGGGCCGTCTGGGGAGGTCTTCGGCTGCCTCTGGGGGTCCTGTGGCCATCCTGGGGGAGTCTTGGGCCATCCTGGGACAGTCTTGGAGGGCCCTCCTGGACAGTCGAGTCTTCGAGGCGAAGGCTTCCCCGGGGACGCCGGTTGCTCCTCCCTTGTCCGGTCGTGCTGCCGCCCACAGCGGCAACCGCCACGGGCTCTTGCGGGGCCCGCTCGGAGTCTCGGGGCCGTCTGGGGAGGCCTTTGGCTTTCTGGGGATCTCGTGGCCATCTGGGGCTGGTTTTGGGTGGTCTCTGCGCCGTCTTCGGGAGCGGTCTTGGGCCACCCTGGGGTCATCCCCAGCCGTCCCCATCCCTTCCCTGCCCCTCCCCCACATCCCTTCCCGAGAGGGGAGGGGATAGGGGAGGGCCGGGCGCGATGCTCCGTGCAGAGGCAGGCGGCGCCGCAGAGTGGCCGCCCATGTAAGCCATCGCGCTCAGGACAGCCCGTCTGCCTGGCTGGACGCTTCAGTTCCGCTCGTGCGCACCGCGTTCGAGGTAGTCTAGTGGCTTCACGATGGCGCCGCCGAGCTTGTAATCGTGCTGCCGTGTCCGCTCCCGCTCCTCCTCCTCCTCCTATATTGGCGAAGGTTGGGGATTCCAAATGGGCGCGGCGGTGCCATGCGACCGCAGCCACTGGGGCCTTCGGTGGAGCTCCCTAGTGGGCCACGGGACGTGTGAGGGGGGGCCGAAATGGGCGCGGCGGCGTCATGCGAACGCATGCTGCTGGGGCCTTCGTGGAGCTCCCGTGGAGTCACGAAGCGTGTGAGGTGTGTGCCGAAATGGGCGCGGCGGCGCCGTGCGAACGCAGCCTCTGGAGCCTTCGGTGGAGCTCCGCGTGGGGCCACGAAGCGTGTGAGGTGTGTGTGTGTGTGTGCCGAACTTGGCGCGGCGGTGCCATGCAAGCGCAGCCACCGGTGCTGATTTATGGTGCGCCCATGTGAGCTGAAAGCTTGTACATGTGCATTGTACAGATTTTCCCGAGTGCGCGTTGCTCCGTGATTGTTTTTGCACAAGGCAGCTCTGCATGTGTGGTTTGTGGGGAAGACTGCTTTCTGCGGTGAAATCGGTCATGTGTCCACATCGGCCAGGGTTCTGAGGGAAGTTCGAGTCATAGTGGTAGCAGAGCCGGGGTCAGTCCTCGGCTCCAGATGCGCTCTGCGCACGCCGAACTCTCAGAGCCCTCTGGTGTGTTAAGACATGTCTGGCGCGGGCAGAGCATGCTTTGGCACCCCAGAGGCAGCCCAGGAGGGGTGGACGGGACGGCACTAGAACAGCGGCTGCTTCGACAGTTGACGGACGGACAGCCAGAGACTTCGACGGCGCCGCAGCAGACGCCATTGTCGTCAATGAGTATCGAGGACCTCGGCCGCATCGTCCGCGAGGTTGTACGCGAGGAACTGAAGGCATCAGACAGAGGTTCAGACCCATCGGCAGCTCCCGCAAATCAAGATCGGCCAGAGCCAGCACCGACCGCGCGGGCATCCGCCAGACGCCGACGCCTCAGGACGGGGAGGCTGGGCCGACAACCAGTGGAGGGGCGGTAGCGGCGGCGGTGCCTGGATCGGAAATGGCGAAGGGCGGAAGGAACAGCCAAGTAGAGATGAGTTTCAAGTTGTACCCGACGCATTGACGAAGGTAGAGAGTATGCTGGCTGACGAGCCCAAGGTAATGGACCCCGAACGCGAAGAACAGGACGACGCTCGGAGATGGTGGGGCTCAGCTGGCGAGGGCTGGCGTTCGTGGAGGTGCTTGCGAGAACAAGAAGGGCGACTACAGGTGGTCCTGAGCCCTGGATGGATGGGCTGGGCGGACTGCCGGCCGTGGAAGCGGAGTGTGCTCCGGTGGGCCGGCGGGGCGGACGTCCAAGTCCAAGAGAGCCGACCGCGTCATGAAGATGCTAGACGCGGACCTCCAGCGCAAGCTGGAGTTCGTCACGGATGAGCAGTTGACCAGCGCAGAAGGAACGCAGCACATCTTCAGGCAACGTGACCTCCTGTCAGGCGAGCGGCGCGATGACGGGAAGCGGCGCGCGGCGCGCGAGTGTTTGTTGCAGAACCAGAAGAATAGCTCCGAATCGCTCGCGGCCTTCGCGTCGAGGCTGGGCAATCAGTTCGGCAAGATCACGACGCAGTGTCTGGCGATGCCCGACGAGTGGGAGGCGATGCTCCTAACGGAAGGCGCGGGCCTGGACGAGACCAACTTGCGCGCGGCGAGAGTGCTCGCCAATGGTTTCAAGTCGCATGCTGCCGCGCTGGCGGCCATCAGAAAGCTCGACATCAGCAAGAAGGGGGCGCTGGCGACAACGAGAAAGACCATTCTGGCCCACTCTCAGTCTCAGGAAGTGGATGGCGGTCAGACCTTTGCAGCGGACGCGGACAACAACCTGCTGGACTGCGATGGTGCGCCGTCGTTGGACACGGACGCAGAGTGCGCGCTGTTTGACGTCATCGAACAAGTGGAGCTAGGCGAGGCGAACGTTCTCACCGTGCTGGCGACGATGCAGGCCGACGAGAGGATGTCCTGGGAGCAGAACTGGGAGCTGAGGAGGAAGCTCAAGACCGACCGACGGCACCTCCAGAGACCGCCGCGAGCATTCCACACCGCGGAGCACCCATGGCGCCCCGAGGGACATTGGAGCGCCCGCGGTGCTCAGAATGTCAGAACAATATGAAGCCGTGGCTGGCGCTCTCGGAGATCATCGAGCTGCCGCGTTCAGGATCTGCAAGATGAAGGGCCGCTGGGGCGATGAGTGCCCCAGCAGGGCTGGCGCCTCAGGTGCAGCGGCTGGCGCTCGGCCCGGCGGAGGCCTGGGCGGAAGGGGTCCCGTCTGCGGGCGCCCTGGGCAGAAGCCTCTGGAAGGCTGGGCGGGCGTGGCATTTGGCTGCCCGAAAGGCGAGGATGAGTCGCTCGCCGCCCAGAGCCACGCGTGCCCGTCGAGGGGGGGGGGGGGGGCGGCGCGGAGGGCGATCCTCAGCGTCGACAGCTTGCGCGAGGAGATGTTTCTGCAGTTGACGGGGGCCGCGAAGCCAGGGGGTCTCATGGGCCCCGGCGGAGGCCGCCATCTTGGGCGCCGAGGCCAGCCAGGGCCTGATCGGCATGGGTGCGCTCGCGGACCTCGCCAGATGTGATTGATAAGGGTATTCGCGTGCTGTTTCCAGTTTTTCTTTTGGTTGTGCTCGAGGCCATGCTTGACTAGCCGAAGAATAGTCTTTAATTGTTGTCGCTTCGCGAATCCCCACCAGCCCATCCAGAAACGATGCCCAGAGGAATTGCCTCGATCAGAGAAGTGGGCAGCACACAGAGGAAGCCATTATGAGACATCTTGGGATATCTTGAGCCATCTTGGAGGTCATTTTGGGCTCTCCCAGACGCTCTTGGAGTCATCTTAATCCGTGCCCCCCCCCAAGAGGCCTCCATGTGGCTAAAACCTGTGTAGAATCAATGATTAGGCATTCTCGCCGAGGCCTCTTGGAGCATCTTGGGTGCATCTGGGGGGGCTCTTGGGGCCTCTTGGGGGTCTCTTGGGGGCCTCCGGGGGGCCTCTTGGGGGCCTCTTGGGGCCATTTTGGGGCCATCTTGGGACCTCTTGGGGCTTCCTGGGCGCTTCTTGGGGCCATCTTGGAGGAGATCGATCAAACAAGAGGGGGGGTTTAATTAGCGTCCCCCCTCGGAAGCCCCTAAAATCGCCTCTTGGACCCCTCTTGGAACGCTCTTGGAGTGCTCTTGGGCGCTCTTGGGGCCGTCTTGGGGCTCTTTTGGGGCTCTCTTGGGGCCCTCTTGGGCCATCTTGGAACCATCTCCAGGCCTCGGATGGCCATCGGAAGCGAAAAGGCGAGAAAGCAAAAATCATTGATTTTCCTTAGGTTTTGGGACGATTTTGGCCTCTTCGGGGCCTCCTTGGGGAGCTGTTTGGCCACTTGGAGTTATCTTGGGGCCGTCTTTGGGCTTCTTGGAACCATCTTAGGAGCCATCTCGAGCGATCTTGCGCTATCTTGAGCCATCTTGGAGCTCATCTTGGGTTCTCTGAGGCGCTCTTGGAGCCGTCTTGGGCCATCTGGGACGCTCTAACTACCCGCGGCCCCCCCCGTCCAGGTCCAGGGGAGGGGGTAGGGGGAGGGGTAAACCCCTCCCCAAGGGGGAAGAGGGAGGGGTGGAAGAGGATCTGCTCTAGACCACCTACGCCCAGAGGGCTGGTGGGATTTGCACTTCGGACTTGCGTCTGGTCATCTTTGCTCCTGGATAGACCGCCTGAGAGCCCCCGCGGAATTCAAGTGCTCGGAAAAGCTTGCGCGGGAGTTTCCGGGGTCAGCGCGGAGAGTTTTCGACGCCCGGACTGCGCGGGCAGCGAACGCGGGCACATGCGCCCGTTAGCTTGGGAGGGGGCATCGCCCGCTAGCCTCGTCGCAAACTCGTTCCAGACTCTCTCGCCCCCCCCCCCCCCCCGTTGGTCTCTCCCTGGTCGGCGAAGGTGGTGGGCCCAGCGGGGGCCCCTCAGTGTCCCCAGCGACCGCGATCTCAGTCGCCTAACCAATGTTTCATTGTTTCAGAGCCAGGGGGGGCGGGGAGAACGATGGCGAGTTACTCGACACTTTCGCAGTTGTCGCGGTCTCGCGTAGCCCCTCTTTGCACGAGCAGGGCGCCCTCGCCATCGACCAGTGGCACCCAGGTCGCCGGTCTCGCCAGCGGGGCGAGGATGTCTGCTG